ATTAGTAATTTTATCATGAGTTAATTTAAATTTAATTGCTTTTTCTTTTATCTTAAAGTATTTGTTTTTACGTTTTCCATTTTCATACCATCTAAATACCCATCTTTTATCTCTTTTATTATAACTAATTCCATTATATCCAGAAGTATTATTTTTAAATAATTTACGATTTAAATTATTTAGACTATGTGTTGTTTCTCTGAGATTACATTCTCTGTTATCTAATCCAATTCTGTTTATATGATCTATTAAAGACCATTCAGGATGAAGCAAGCGATGAAATCTTAAAGATTTTTGTTTATTATCTTTTTTAATATATGTTCTTATATAATATATATTTCTATTTTTTGGTTTATTAGCATGCCAAATATGTTGTCTGAGTTTTGTGTAATCTGATACCTCACAGAGAAAAGTAATATTCTCCAATTGGGTTTTAACCTCTAAATAAGCTAGACCATGAATAGTCACAAGTCTGATCTGATTAAATAGTTTATTTTTATGTTGCCAATGAGTTGATTTCTTTCCTCCGAACCAATTATTAATAACCTTGAAGGTTAGATATATCTTTTTCCAAAGAGAATTTAAAGATTCTCGTTCAAAATTTTCAGCAGACATTTTTAATTTTTAAAAAAATATATAAAATAACTCTTTATATATTTTTTAAACATTAAAAAAAATATGAGCACCATACCAAATTTAAAATTAATTAAAGAAATATTATTTGATGAAAAGAAATGTATAGAATTTTTATTTCAAAATAATATTTTAACTAAAATTCAAAACTGTAATTTATGTAAAAGTAAAATATATCAAGAAAAAAAACTCTTTAAATGTAATAATAAAGAATGTAAAAAAGCAATTTCAATTTTTAAAAATTCATTTTTTTCTAAACATCATCTTGCTTGTAATAATACTTTATTAATAGGATATTTATGGCTTTCAAAAGCAAATTATACTACTATTAGTTTAATTACAAATTTTTCTCCAAATACAATTGTTAAATATTTAAAAAATTTTCAAAAATTAGTAATTAATTCTTTAACAAGTGATGATTTTTTACTTGGAGGTAAAAATGTAGTATTGGAGATCGACGAATCCAAATTCAAAAAAAATGCTAGTTTTTGGGTAGTGGGATTTGTTGAGCGTAGTAAATCAAAAAAATGTTTCTTTGTAGTAGTTGAAGATAGATGTAGTCAAACATTAAAAAAACTTATAAAAAAACATGTCAGAATAGGTTCCACTATTTATACAGATAGTTGGCAAGCTTATCAAGGATTAGAAAATTTAGGTTATAAGCATATTAAAGTAAATCATTCAAAAGAAAATCTTAGACAAAAGATAAGAAAAATACATACACTAACTATCGAGAGAACGTGGAGGGGGATCAAGATGAATTTAAGTGAGCGAAACAGAAATAAAAAAGTTATAAATGATCATTTAATGGAATTTGTTTGGCGCAGGAAGAATAAAGATAATTTATGGTTTGGTTTTTTAGACGCATTGAAACAAAATAAACAATAATTTTTTTTTATAAATAGTTAATCTAAACTAAAGTTTAAAAGAAAAAAAAAAATGCGATTTAAATTTTTATTATTATTGTTGTTGATATTTTTTATTATTACAAATGAAGCTGTAAGAACAAAAAAACCACGTACTACTACAAAATCAGTTCAAAAACAAGGTAGAATTAAAAGTCCACGAAAAAGAAGTAGAAATAAAATTTCTAAAACAACTCCAGTTGCAGCTTTACAAGGATCAATAGTTGATACTCTAGTTACTTTTAATTCTAAGAAAGGAAGATATGAACGTATATTAAACAAAAATGGTAAAACATGTAAACGATATCCTGAAGGAATTTTTGTAGAACATATTAGCAGAAATGGTCAAATTCGATATTCTCCAGTTCATAAATTAATACAAACTAGGTTAAATTAATTCATAAATAAATAATTTTTATAATTATATATTTATCAAAATAATTTTATTGTAATAATATAAAACAAAAGAATTTATTAAAAAAATATAAATAGAGTTGATTTTTTCTTTTATTATTTCTTAAAAAAAAATGACTGAAGATTTGAAATCAATTGTTGCTAAATTCAAGGATTATAATTTTCAACATAAATATCTTTTCTTTGAACAAAATAATGATATCTTAGATCTTGAAAATTTTCGATGTGATTTAGAGGAAAAAAAAATACCACGAATCATTGCAATTTTTAATGAAGGAAAATACTCTGGAAAGAAAGCATTTGTAATCGATAAAAATAATATTTATGATATCTATTATAATAATCAAAAATTCATGAGAATCGAACCTAATAAATTTAATTTTGGTCATTCAAATATCAATGGAGAACATTATCTTTGCTTAACTTTTAATCATCAACAGTTAGATAAAATTCCTGATAATTTTAGATGTGAATTTATTAAAAAAAACAGTCTCAACAATGAAACAACAAGAAATATTGAAAAAACTACTTATTGTTTTAAAGAATATTTTAACATAACTGAAATCGGTACATATTCTATCTTCAAAGATGAAAAAATTTTTCGTAAGATAACTACTTATGTTCATTGGGATTTTGATATCAATGAAGAAGAAGAAGATTTATTTGTTTCATATGATTAATCATTTTATTTAAATAAAAATATATTTATTACATTTAACAAATATAAATTTTATTATTTTTATTCGTTGCTTTTATTGAGTTAATTAAAAAAAAAAAATGAAACATAAAATATATAATTTTTTTTTTTTTGGTTTTATTAAAAACAATTTTTTTATATAAAATTAAATATACAAAGTTTTGAATACATTATTTTTTCTACAAAGATTAAAATATATAAGTTTTTAAATTTGTCTAAGATTAATATTTCTATTATCTGTTCCATATCTATTAATATGATCAATCATTTTAAGTTCAGGTTTAATCAAACGATGAAATTTTAAAATTGTTTTTTTATTATTTTTTTTAATTGCTGTTATAATATAATATATATTTCTTTCTTTATTAGCAGTCCAAATATGTTGTCGAAGTTTAGTATAATCTGATACATCACAGAGAAAAGTGATATCAGATTTTTGAGTCTTAACTTCCAAGTAAGCAATACCTTTAATAGTTACAAGTCTGATTTGATTAAAGATTTTATTTTTATATATATAATGAGTAGATTTTTTTCCTTCATGAAATTCTGAAATAACTTTGAACGTAGGATGTATTTTTCTCCAAGGAGAATTTTCAGTTTCTCGTTCAAAATTTTCAGCAGACATTTTTTAGTTTTTAAAATAAATAAGAAAATAATATTTATTTATATATTTTTTTAATTTAATAATTATATATAATATTTAAAGTACTTTAAAATTAACAATTGTATTACATTTGAAAGTATAAATAATAAAGAATTTTTCTTTAGTTAAATTTAAAAAAAAAAAATGAAACGTAAAAATTCTGAATCTCAAAAATTTGATATTAAAAGAATCAAAAATAAAGAAACTAAAATTCATCCTATTAGTTTAGTCTTTAATTATATTGATGATCCATATACTTTTCAAGATGCTTCACTTGTTTCCAGAGATTGGAAAGAAGTTCTTGATACTCATGAGTTTTGGAAAAATCTAAATGAACATCTTGGATTCGAGGAACCAAAACCAAAATCACGAAAATACAAAACTTATAAATCAATCTTTGTTAAAAATATCAAGAAAACTTGTGAAAAATGTAAAAAAAATATTGGAGAAAAAAACAAAGATTTGTCTGAAATTTATAAAAAACTTGGAATTTTAAGTTATTATTCTCTTAATCGTTATAATTTTTATAAACAAAGATTATATGTTGAATTCTGTAAATTTACT